CGCGACCCTCAGATTGCGATTTGAGTGCCTTAACCACCTGGCCATGCCGGGCCCACCAACAAGTAACGTAGAACATAAATAGTTTAGAGAAAATTGTGTTTAACAATCTGGTGGGGCCTAACCTCAAGGATATTTTTTTTTTAGAGCTACGCAAAAGTAAATAAAATACGTCCCCCATTGCCACGTTCATCTTATATATTTTCCGGGCAGTTTCTACTCTGTTACGTTTCAATTTGGCCCCACAGAGCTTTCAAGAACATCGCCCTAAGATTGTTTGTTTGTAGTTATGCACAAAGCTACAGAATGGGCTATCTGTGCTCTGCCCACCACGGGTATCGAAACCCGGTTTCTAGCGTTGTAAGTCCGCAGACATACCGCTGTGCCTCTGAGGGGCTCGCCCTAAGAGTTGTGTTGGGCAGATTTCTTTTGTGTCTCGCCCAACATACACTACAGGGTTCTTCATGCTTATATTACCAGGTCAATCAAGCGTATGACGTGTAATCCATTGTAGGCAGACATGAACGTATTTAGTAACTCATTTTCTTTACTCACTGATATACTGTTTTACGTTTGTTTTTTTTGTTAGTTGACGAAGTTCCCAAAGAAAATGCCGAAAAAACGTATGCGAAATTATTTTATAAACTACACGTGGACTATGATTATGTTTAATATATATATATTTATACTTTTTATTTTGTGAACTCACGAGATGGCGATTTACACCCCCTTTCAAAGTTCTTCATCTGTACAGACGTGTTGTGTACTCGATTTGTAGGATTAGATAATAAAAATACTAAACCTTTTATATCTGACAGTAAGGTATAGGATAAAGTATTGTTTCACGTATATTCCAGGTGGATTCAACCACAGTAAGATATAAGATAAAGTTTCGTTTCACGTATATTCCAGGTGGATTCAACCACAGTAAGATATAAGATAAAGTTTCGTTTCACGTATATTCCAGGTGGATTCAACCACAGTAAGATATAAGATAAAGTTTCGTTTCACGTATATTCCAGGTGGATTCAACCACAGTAAGATATAAGATAAAGTTTCGTTTCACGTATATTCCAGGTGGATTCAACCATGTTTCTGATTCGTTACACACGTTAAACGAAATGAACCCTGAAGAGTTTGGGATGTCTCGTTTTGAAGACAATCAAGAGTATGGACTTGAATCCAATACCCCAAACACCAGCTATTTGGAAGGAAGTCCAGAGTTTTACCCATCTGCTCCAGCACCGTCTATGTTCCACGAGGTCAAATATCAACCAAATTTCCAAAACAAAAACTTCAACAGAGGTAGGTATACTCGACCATGTTTGCTCTAGTTTACACAACATATTTGGATGATACAGTCGACCATGTTTGTTCTAGTTTACACAACATATTTGGATGATACACTCGACCATGTTTGTTCTAGTTTACACAACATATTTGG